TGATCATCTTTGTATCGTTGCTGCCTCTTGAAGCCAAGTACTCCTGCACAGAAGCAGCAACCTTCCCTCAAGCAGCGAAGACAGTTTCTTTATAAAATTGACAACTGCGTTTTAAGGTTCCGTGCTTATAAATATGCAAATATTGCTATAGCGACCATCCACTGTGCTTCTAAAACCGGAAGTAGTAGCACAGGAAACTGCTTACAGGAAAAGAAATACTTGTTCTGCTCAGGGGTTTTCTGTGAGTGTGCAAGAATTCCTTTATATGCATGTTTGTAGACACGTGTACATATATATTGCACACCTATGTATTGATGTTTATACTTCCATTTATATTTACATATATTTACATAAATACTTACCGGGGAGAGAAGATCACTACTTTACATAATCACTTATGTAAATAAGTCACTTGTATAGATCATAAGAACCCATTCCATTAAGAATAATTTCTCACCTATCAGCGGTTAAATTAATGAAACTGGTCAGGAAAGTCTTGGACCAAGAGGGACAGCATTCTTACGAGACTAGGCAGAGCAGAGATTTCGGACTTGCTCATCTGCACAACAGAAATATCTATCTGCATTTCTCCTACTTAATAGGTACTCCATCCATCAGCATTATTTATTAGGACCATATCAAGAACAGTGATCATCGGCTGGCATATGATAAAGCAGCTTTCAATTTTAAATTCGCAGACAGCTGCAAATGAAGAGACCCCCCCAGGGGCTGCGAGACAGACCCCACCTACGAGGGAAGGCCTTGGCCTCCCAGGGACCCCCAGTCTTCTCTGGCCCCCCAGCTGTGAGGACAGGGCTGGCCTCAGCTGGGCACGGAGACGCTTCTCTCCTACACTTCGGAGGCGCCGACGCCTGTCCCTGTTTGTGCAGGTGTATTTCGACCCGCGAGCTGCTCTTTTCTTTGTCTCTTTCCTGGTGGAAACTCTGCTTTGCTATCTGACATCACTGAAATCCGCCCGATTGTTTTCTAGTATTTACCAAAGATGCTACAACATTGTTTCTTCCATTTGGGTCTATGTGCACATCTCAGAGCGGTTTCCTCCTCGCAGCAAGCTAGAAAAGCCAACACCTGGCCCGAACAGGACTAGAATTCCTCTTCCAGGGGCAAATACACATGGAACATGACCGTTATCCAGAGAGGTCAGACGCTGCTTTTGAGTTCTTTCGTGTTAAGCCCACAAGTGAAAAGAAACTCATGAGACTTAAGTGTGAATTTGTGATCACTGCAAAGTGACCATAATTCTTTTATGTTTAAGCTATTCAAGATAAATAATGCTCCACCCATGTAATCTTGAATATATATTTTATTCCTCCTTTCATCTTTGCATGTAAATGTTTCGATCAGAAGTCATTGCATGGATAATTTTATAGACACATTATAACAAAACAGCTTTATTGAGGTTGATTATATTGTCATCAAAAAGAATAAGTTGTCCTTAGATTCTGTATTCTTTATGTTATTAATCACACTATCAACACCCTGAGTCCCACAGTACTAGAAGACCTAGGCCTTTCGAGTCCATGCATTTTGATAAACAACTTCAATGTTTTTACTATTGCAGAATTGCTTGGAGTTAATTTTGTTAAAAATTCTCAGTCATTTTCAGGGACTCTTGGTATGCTCCATAAAATATTTCTGTATCTTAATGAATACATGTGCCAAGAGGGAATCATTAATCCAGTAAACCTAATGAAATTCTTTCATGTGAAAGAATTAATTAAAATGACAATAAATGCCGACCCATTTTGGTTTTTGAAAATTATTTTTTTAACAGAGCAAAACAATTCAAAGTACTTAGGGAGATAGACAAAGTATAAAGATGTGATAGATAAAAAGATAAAGATGTGAAGTCAACAATAAAATCTGCATCGAATATAATGAGGTAATTCCTCTCAGGACATGGAGTAATGACTTACAGACATACACCTTCTATGACCTGGCCAGAAGCTTAGTACCTACTCCTGTTTGGGATTGGAACCGGAGCTAATGAGGGCACCAGTGACTTTTGTATGCAAGAAATTTAAGGTCAGGTTTCTAAGGGGAAAATAGTCATTTTAAGATGCAGATAAAGGGAATATTCCAGAATGTAGCTCATTAAATTGTGAAACCCACTTTTTTTTTTCAAATTTTTATTTCTTTGTGTACACAGAACTGGGGTACCGGCCAGAGGTGCAGGGGTGGTGAGAGGACTCCCCAGAGACAGAGCGGGGAGCAGAACAGGCAGATTGACTGAAGTCTACTGCTGAGGGGAGCAGTGGGCGGGTCAGGAGAGGTCTGCTGCGCCCTGGGGTCCCCTCCGGGGAGCATCTCAAACTCTTGCTAAAGCAGCTCTAGATTCTCAGTGCTGCGCTTTAACCCAGGGAGGGCCCGTGAAACCCACTTCTGTATGCACACATTCAGGCATTGTCTCCAGCCCCGCAGCCGTCCACACAGCAGACACCACTCCCGGGTGTGCTGTCCACCTGCTTGACAGACTCGACCGATCGCCAGGGCTCAGGATCCGGTAAACAGACCCACCTCTCGGCGTGACCACAGCGGCCAGGGCAGCCCCAGCTCAGAGAGGCTGGAAAGCTCCTGGAGACTTTGCAGAGGAATGAGGATGTCAAACCGAAGCTTCGAGAAGAGAACTTGAGGACGTAAAGACTCATCATGGCTCCCAGGCCCTCCCTGGGGGCGCAGGGGTAAAGCGAGGCACTTTGAAGCTGGCCGCAGATTGATCCCCGCCTGCCCCGGAGGTGACC